AATTGTATGATGAAAATGATCAGCGGAACAACATGATTTGTGCACCAAAATATACAAGTGAAACTTATACTTCACTATCATGCGGATCGTCACTAAACGGGGTTTGGCGAAGCGCGAACGAGGGATTATTTTAGTCTTTAGGTGTGTCTGGCGGCTGAGGAAGAGAAGCGACTCATACAATGAAGGAGCTGTGTTCATCGTTTTTTCCGTGAGCCGGTTGAGTGCCGTCTTTGTCATTGGACACAACAGCCGCGATTGTTGTGCTCGGCGGCCGCATCTGTTTGTAATTCTCCACCCGTCCCAGCCTCACCTGGCCAAATCCACATCTCACCTCTCTTCCGCGCACCCCTCCGCACACACGGCAATCGTCGCAACTACCACTAAACACCCTCCATTCCCAGCAAACAGCCCACTACATCAGCTTTAATTACGGCTAGACACAGCGCCGATTAATTGACAACACTTGGCACCGTCTAACCGCTCTCCGTCACGAGACACCGAGCTGCGGTGAGCCGTGTGCCGTACTGCCCGCGGCTGTAGGTGACGGTGGCGGCCGGCGGCACCGCCCCGAGTCCACAGACGACCAGCACGAGCGGCAGCGTGGGAGCCGCCCGTGGGAGGTAGCGCGCCAGCCACTACCGGCGGCACCGGCAGACCGCACCGCCCCTCATCTACATCTGGGCCGACGCGACCAGTCACACTGGCCCCGATCGCACTGTGACAGCTTGCGGCAGAATTTGTGGGAATCGTGGGTAATGCATTTGTGTGTCTGTGTGTTTACTGCGCTTCTATACAGGTTTCTGTGTTTGATACTCGACAGGTGACAGACGGGTCTTTGATGACGGTCTATGCTTCCCTCTAGTCGGCATGAATGTGCGTGACTGAAAGCGAATGTGTATGTGTAAATGCTGGTACTAATTTTGTCATTGTTTTGTTGACATGTGCCGATGTATGCCCTCCTCTGTCGATCAGCCAGCCTCCATTTCCGCCGGACTAAATGCCTTTTTTTCTGTCGGGCTACGGCTGTAGCCTGTAGAGTATACAGACGCCGGGGGCGTTCCAGGCCGGGTCACTGGCTGACCTCTGGCACGTAACACCTCCCGCTGCCAAACAACACAGCGCCGCCACAGAGCCGACCTGAACGGCGGAGCAGCGGAGGCAGAGAGGGACGATCCAGTTAAGTCCTCGGAAACACGCTGCGGTAATGCGCTCCGGTTAGAGTCTGAGTGCTAACGGGTCTGTTGCCATGGAGGGCTGTGGGCGCTCACAAGCGCAGGGTTAAGAAAAAGCAAAGTCGTTGTTTTCTTTATACAGGAGATGGCCAATAATTTGCGTTGGCAGATGAGAACACGGTTTGTGCCAATGAGGTCAACCAGTCACAGTGGCTGTAAATCTGTCAATAAATATCCCTTTGTTATAGCCTAGCAGACATCAAATAACCCAGGTATGTCCTGTTAAGCAGTTTTAACGAGTTCAGATATACGAGTCCCTCCTCGAGTTCAGGGTACCTAATTCATGACACGATCCACATTATCACTCCTGACACAATGGGCCATCTCCACCTTATTCCGCCACTTGTATACGACACCTCCGAGCGCTCAGAGACGCACCCTATACCTCCCCATGATCTGTACAGGTGGGGCGAACGTTCCCCAGACAGACCCCGAGGCGTTACGGCCGGGTCAGGTCGGATTCAACAACAGGATTCCGCTCATCAGACGCCACCCGGAGCCGATTTGTGGTCACACAACACCGGATAGGAACGTTAATGACCTCTCAGGAACGTGCCACTCGGTCAGAAAAGTACCCACCGGACACCCCAATGGTTCTTTGTGTGCGAGCTCAACCGCCTCATGCCACCCTAGATGACGGCATTCGTTTCAGACAGCTTACGCTTATAGTCGTCTCTGGCAGCGATCAATTTATCCAAACGTCGCGGATGTTAGATCTAGCCGGAACTGGCGGAGAGACACTTTAAAATCGGTGAAAAATCCGCTCGTGACTCTCTTATCGCCTTATTTCGGGCTGAGCTGCTGCAATGGAGAACATACCAGGATGCTGTGTCATGAGCGACAGAGAAAGGCACAGTCGTCAGCGCTTTGGTATGCATCCGACACCGCGCCAAGAGAATCCCGTTTGGAACAATTTACAAATATGCACCGATATTACGACAGTTACGTGTTGGTAGCTTAGGCATATCAAACAAATAAATAACTGTTGAGATATCAGCGCAATCCTGCAATACAACCGACCGCAATAATGTAAACAGCACGAATTATTTTCATGCCGAATGATATTCATGCCATCAAAAATCACCGCTGACTTTACACCACCCAGCCCACCATCGCATTGTTGAGCGATGCGGGCCGCTAATAGGTCAGTCCAAACAGTGCAGGTAGTCTAGCCACCCCACTGACCGGATGGCCCTCACTGGACCGTCCCGTGACCCCAGCTGCAGCGCTTTACTCCCGGGCGGGACCCCCGCCGGCGCGGCGCTGACCTCCGGGTCGGGTCAGGGCAGCTTTAGGTGCCCAGCGCCGCGCATGGTAAGCCGGAGAGACCCTGGAGCAGCCCGGGGCGCCCGGTAAATATTTGGCTGGGCTGCCGGCCGGGAGGTCGAGCTGAGAAGCCGTGAGCGAATACACACACGGGGAGAGCGATCGACAGGGCAGGTCATGGTAGATCCATCGACGGGGTATGGCGTCATGGCGAGCAATTGCGCCGCGCGGGTAAACGTTGAAAGATCTGACTTCTTTTCATCATGGCGCAGTGTCGTAAGAAGAATACAATTAACTAAAAAAATATGATATAAACACTCATGTGTATCGTGTAGTGTGTACTGTGTTGTCTACATCAGCCACTTTCTTTCTTTACGGGGGTGCCCCTAAATCCATTTAGTAACGGGATCGATCCTCGGTTTTAGCCCTTGCCATTCCATTTATTTAGGGTTGCTACTGCTAGACAGCCCCATTCAGTAAAAACAAACGTACGATATCACTACCTAGACGGCTAATGCATTCAAAGCTGCTGGACACACAGGCCCTCTTATTGCCGTCTTCGTTATCTGTAATCGTATCCCGCCGGCGCCCATTTAGCGGCTAATGAGCCACCGTTCGTGCCTGTCATGGCCTTGATCATGATGACCAGACTGCGCGGGAGGGAGGGAGGGAGGGAGGGAGGGAGAGGGTTGGAGAACGAGGGAGGGAGAAGAGGGTCGGAGAGAGGAAGAGGGCCGCAGGGAAAGAGAGAAGGAAAGAAAGGTGACGAATGAACGAGTGGGTTAAGACGGAGAGCGGCAAGTCGGAGGCACAAGGCCGGAGGGGATAGGAGGATGAAGGGGGTATTTCTTTACATGTGGAAGCAGAAAGGAACTAATCATTTTAAGGATTTCCTTTTAATATTTTTCTGGAATATTCCTATATCGGCCCAATAAAACGTTATCAGATTCCCCATCAACAGAGCGTCACGAAATTATGCTGGTCTGCATTTCGCTCCGCCTCATTTCCCACTGAACTCTGAAGTGTACTTCGCGTTTTCTTTTCAGCTTTCGAAGTAGTTCCATGAGTTCGAACGGAGCTACACGTTTTTCGCCTACAGTTGTGATTGCGCAGTCCGTTTGCAATCATCGTGTTCAGAGAGGCGAGACGCACACTGCGAACGCAGCAGCAGCAGACTGCTAAGCGGAGACTTTCTATTTCCTGTGGGAGACAGTGCCTTCCACTGGTGGTGTCGGTTTACGTCCGCGGTCAACAGTGACTAACAGTGACCAACAGTGATTCAACAGTGACCGAAAGTGGTTTAAGCTAAACCCACGGCGGCCGACAGTAAAGATGACGGTGGTTATTTAACGACGTCATTAGCGGGGAACTCCTGCCTGCCTGGACTCTGCACTGGACTGGGGCAGTCTAAACTCCCGGCAGTGACTACTCAGTATACAGCGATCCACCACGGCAGTCGCAGCTGTGAGACGGAACCCGTGGGAAATGACACAGCCAGTGCTGGGTGGGCGGAATTCTGAGCGGGGACGGGCACAAACCAGAGCGCTCCACATAACCTGCCGTTTTTTATGATGCAAGCATCATGTGAATTGTGCCTGTCAGTGGCCAATTCGTGCCCGGAAGCTGGGAGTCCCGAATAAAAAGCCTACGCCTCCAATGAGCGCTGGCTATAGGGAAGAAGCTCCAATTTATTTGCTAGTGTGTCCGATCAATAAATAAGCGTAGGCGCTGTTCCGGGTTCGAACTATCGCGCTGGGTGGTGGACACTGGACAGTGGACACGTGCGGTATGGACGAGATATGAGTTGCTGTGAACTTTGAGTGAACTTCTGAACTTTGTGAGCTTATGAATTTAGGTCGGGGTAAATACAAACCTGGCCTGGGCTTTCATAAGCAAAACGAAATTGAATTATAAAATAAGAACGCATTTTCTTTGATTAAGACACATGTAAGCCGGAAACGGTGGAATTCAAGCACTTTTTCCAACCATAACCGATCGTCGAAGATCTGCTGGGAGCTGATTTATGCCTCCAAACGCACCGGATATTTTTGTTGCGGAGTTCCCTATAACACACGCAGTTGGGGGTACAATGATAGCCCTGCCATCGGGGTATTTGTGTTCTGATTCAACATCGTTTGTGGAGCGCCGAGGTTAAACGAACGGCCGCGAACTCCGGATAGCCAGTAGAATTCTAACAGAGAACTCCTCGGGGACTATACCAATCACACAAATCATCCAGCCTCAGCATGAATGACTGTTGGAAGAGAATAGTAGCGTTGGTGAGTCCGTGAACGATGAAGAGCCACTCTCCACAACAGGCTGTGAGTGCCATGGGTGGAGTGACATGCTGACCGGCAGGGCGGAGTCTGTTGAGGAGACTGGGCGGAGCCGGTAGAGCGCTCACTGTATGTGTGTCTGTCAACACGGGAGTGTTTTGGACGGAAACTGACGGCCTCAGGGCGGACAGGGGTCAGGAGAGGGTCAGGGGAGTGCGGTACTCACTTGTCGACGAAGCCCTCGAACTCGTCATGCTGTTCGTTGATGGACAACTCGGGGTCCAGGTAGCTGCCCAGCTCGCCGTCCCGGTAAATCTGTAGTGTAGCATCCGATAGCTGAAAACAGAACAGAAGAGTGGTTGGTCAGGTCAAGTGGGGTTATGTCGGATTGAGTCGGGTGGGTCACGGAGATACCAGGAGTCGTTCAATTCAAGTCAGGTCAGATGGGGTCAATTCGAGGAAGGTTAGTATTTTTTCTTTGCATTAGGATGAGCGTATTTTCATAACCAAAAAAAATTGTTCCATTCGGTGTTCTGAAGACCGTATGCCCGACAATTACTCTAACTGCAAGGCATATCGAACTATATTTGCTGAACACATTTTTGTCCCGGAATGCCAAACATCACGATGTTAGCGCATTTCAGGTTGGAAATGTATTACAACAGGCGATAGCTCAGCCTTCCTCTGGCCTGCGCTCTCCGTTCGGACACGTCTGACCAGTCTGTTGTGTCTCCACTGTGCGGTGCATGATAAAACCTGCAGCCGTTTTGTCCCCGCCGCCCACCTCTGTGGACCGTATATACCGGTGCTGCAGGAATTTCCTGCCACCCTGTCTCCCAGCCGGGGGCACGGAGCGGTCAGCGGACGGGGGCGGGGGCGGGGGCGACAGCTGCCAGACCACACACCGGACACTGATAGGCTGACATCACCAGCAAACTTCAAATGGAGACACTCCTCCAACGGCCGGCCTTCGAATCCGCGGACAGCAGCCCCTCCCGGCCCTGTCGGCGCCCTTCGGCACACCCGCGCAGACCGCGCCCTAGATAAACGGAAACTGATCACAAACCAGCTGCCCTTCATTTGGCTATTCGGTATCTTGCACAGTCTCAGGGACGCGGGCCATCTGCTCTTGTACGGAATCATGTATATCATGTGACATTGTAATTCTGGTTTCGACAATGAAGGTCAGACAGCTTTGAAAATAGCAGTGGAAAATGAGATAAAAGTGGGAACCACGCCCACAGGCTGCCACCCACAAATATCCCTCTGCTTGGCCCCACAAGCTCCCATCCTCTCCCTCCCTCTTCTCTCTCTCTCTCTCTCTCTCTCTCTCTCTCTCTCTCTCTTCCTCTCTCTCCATACCAAAACTGGCCTGCCGTATAACATGCCTAATCCTATGTCGGACAAACACGCCTCGGTCCGTGCAGGTTATCAGCGCCGCGACGAGGGTCGCGCCGGCCGTGACACCGGCCATCACCGAGGTGCGTCACGTCACGTCGTCTGCCGCGTCACGTCACGTCCTCAGCTGCGTCACGCGAAACGTGACACGGGGACACCCTGTGACGGTCACAAACACGTGACATCCTTGTCGCGGTCCCATTACAGCGTCCGGGCAGTGTTTGTCCTCGGCCCCGTGGTAATTGTATGCTCGTCCTTTCGTGAGCAGCAGCGCTCTGCGTTCGGGTCAGGCGCGACCCGCTCTGTCAATGCCGGCCGGGTCAGGTCAGGATCACAGCCGCGATTTCAATCTGTTGGCGACACTGCACACAGTGGCAAAAACTGGCCGTGCGCCGGTTCTGGGTGAAGGGCGCCCCGTGCCGAGCCGGCACCTGAGGCGGCGCCGGCCACGGGAAACAAACGTCGCACTCGCGCGTCGCCGCGCCGGTTTGTATGCGCCACGCGTCACATTAGCGTTTCTTGTGGCGCGGCTGAGGGGCGGCAGTCGTGGCGCTGCAGCGACAAACTCGGATACGAGGGTGGAAGCGAGGCGGTCACCGGCGCATCACCTGACTGAACGCAGAGAGGAGATGACGTGAGGTCAGAGATCGTACCTGATTAGAGGGCCAGGAAGGGTGGAGGCAACGGGTGGCAGCTGGAAGTGGTATTAGGCCAGGGGTTGAGGCAGGGTGGAGTCGGGACCAGCTGTCATGCCGAGCAATCAGAACAGCGGAAGAGTGAAACATCAGAAGTCAAAAGTCATCACCATTACGTCTCCATACGTCAACAGCAGGTCACGGGAGATACTCGTATGTACATACTTGGTTTAGTTCCGTTCGGAACTGTTGCCAACATATCTGGAAATCCACCCTGTCCTCATCAATATGTCAGCTCGCACGTGGTTCTCTACGAAATCCGAACCTCCGTTTTCATCGCCCGCCTGAACTGTGATTCACCACCCTCCGTTTCGCGTCTAACTCGAGTGCCCATCCCCACGTCTCGTCTTTCTATCAAATATCTGATCCATTTCCTAGTCCGATATCTCATCTTACTCTGAGAAGCCCCGAGCACGCGCGGGCCGATCGGACGTCTGTCATCGCGAGGTCATAATTCACACCGATCACTGACCGTTCTACCAGCTGTGCCCACACACACGTGCACACTGCGATCAGCTGAGAAGCAGTGGCCGTTTGTGAGCGCACGTGTGTTTTATCTCGGCGTATGAGTGGGCGTATGACTGAAGACAGTCAGCGACGTCGTGTCAGAAATCAGAATGGTGTCTGTGTGAGATTGGAAAGTGTGCAAGTGATGATAAAATATGCAATGGTCTCCAAGGGTGAGGGCAAAACCAAACTGTCCAAAAAAAACTAGCTTCAGAATTGCGTCCCGGTGCAACCACTAGATCCAGAGTACTGAAACTTGCAACATCCACAGCGATATCATTCAGCGCTTATATTCACTGCTTAGCAACCAAAACTTGGTGCAGGAAAGAAGCGCTCCTCTGCGAAAAGAAAAAAAAAACACCACTGAGCGGTAGTGGTCAGACTGACGGGTTGACCTGGTGCCCTGCTGACTGGTGACCTGGTGCCCTTCTGGTGCACCACTCAGGTGCGTGTGCCAGCTCCGGTGTCAGGGCGGACCGAGACCCGCTTCTCCGACTGATCACGAGTACAGGGTAGTGTGAGACGTGATTGGCACATTTACACAGCCGGCGTCAGCCCAGAGGAAACTGACTCAGAACGCCAGCTGTCTGTCTGGGAGCATAGGTGACGTCAGAGTGACGTAGTACACCGCCAAGGCAGCCGCAATGTTCTGCAGTGGAGCATACAGCATGAACAGCACGACTTCACGAGAGTTGCTGCAAATTTGATCAACATTGCACGGCAATTTAGGAGTGAGATAATGCGTGTTTGTTCAGAGAACCCGCGTAATTCAGTGTAAGAATGCGTTTTTTTTTTGCAATCTAAATCAGGCTCATATCGATAGAAGCGGCGAATGAGCGACAATGTTCCCTCGTAGCAACAGTGTATCTCTTTCCTGAACACGCAAGACGCAGAGATGAGAGGGGCGCGAACCGGCCGCGCCCCGGAATAACGTCCCAGGTCAACGGACGGGACATGAACTCCTCCCAGTCTGCCTCCTCCCACCGCCGGCTTACCGGTCCGCTCCTCCGCGATACAATCTCAGCGATAAACCCGCAGTGGATCTGTGGTTTAGATGTGAGGGCCCGAGAGTCCAGAGCACGCGATCACGGGAGATGGAGTAGCGAGAAACACGAAAAATGCCCGCTTACAATAAATCTTTATGTAATTTGCCACTTCCCTGTCTGCAGACATATCCGTTGGACAACCTGCATATGATTTATGGAAGTTCATTCGCCTTTTGAAATTCTGTCATTATGATCGTCTTTCCGCCTGTCCGTCTACATGTGAGCCTACTAGCAACAGTTTGTCCATCTGTCTGTCTGTCCGTCAGTCTGCCCGTCTGCCCGTCTGTCAGTCCGCCTGACAGTCCGTCCGTCCGTCCGTCTGTCCATCTGTCTATCCGTATTCTGTCGTTGACCCTTTGTCTAATATCGTTTGCCTGTCAGTCTGCTCCCAGACATAGAGGGCAGGAGCGATGCTATCTTATCCCCCGCGGCCCTCCAGCACAACAACCCTTTGCAATAGGCGTAATCGTGCATCGGCACAGAAGGCACACTGGCTGGCCTGCAGATCATACCTCAGGTTTGTCTGTCTGTCTCTCCCCGGTCTTTCACCCAGGTGTGTCTGAGAAGGGGCGGTGGAGGGCAGACGATACCAGAGGCCATCAGAGGTGGTGTGGGGGCGGGTAATGATGTGACTGTAAACGTGCAGGGACGAGCAGGCTGACTGGGGTGACCGACCGTGCTGCATGGCACCCCACTGCCACCAGAAGGTCAGGCTAGTCGTCTTGCCACTGGGTCGTCCTACGCGGAATGAAGTACACAGTGTCAGCCGTTGGCTCGAGGTTCTGCTGGGATCGTTTGGACGAATGAAGGTTTGAGAGCGCCATTTAATAATAATTGTTGCATCCAGCCGACCACTAAGCGTTGATCGCCTCACACCGCCGGCCGGCCGTCTGGAAGGAGTTATGTTGATCACAGGTCGTGCGGGTCGTGATATCACGGCGGCAGTAACGACCACAGGCGGCGCGGCGGGGGCGTGATCGGACAATCAAACCAAACGGACACCGAAGGACGGAGCTAAGAGGAAAGTTGAGAGGTCACGGACAGCTAGGCGAGCAGGAACAGATTGGGCCTGATCAGAGCAGTGAACAGACGAGATAAGTCAGGTCGGTGGTCCGAAAATAGGGAAACAAGGGAGAATAGAGCAAATGCAGATCAGCTTACGAAATAATTATTCATACAGGATTGTAGGAAGAAGGAACCTAACAGAATCCAGCAAAAACGGTCATATTCATCAAACCGAACAAACGTCAAATCAAACGCCCTTAAACACGCCAATAAGAGCCAGTTCTCAGTTCTTATCGCAGTCGATTTTCTCCGCGACTGTCTGGCTGCATGTCTTTCTGTTCTGTCCGGTCCGGTCCGGTTCACCGGTCTAGCCCGCCTGCCGGCTCTCCGCACCGTACCGAGCTGTCCCGTGAATCAGCCCCCAGCTGGCCGTCAAGGGCAGACGGGACGGCATTCACGGCCCGAGGTGGAGTCGCGGGTTCCGTGAATAGGGAGCCCCGGGCGGCGTGACATTCCGTGATCGAAACGCCCTAGGATGCAAGGCATTCCGTGATCAATGGCACCCTGGTAGTGTAAAATTAGTTGCACTTCAACGCCCATTCATTTACCGCATTTCTAAAGTCTGTGACTGTGGTGCATCGACGTTGTCTCGAGAAACGTGTCCTAAAGGACTGGAGCAATGAAA